TGGTCCCTGGTGACCGTGGGCTTCCCAGGGCTACCGCCCTGTCTTGACTCTCCTTTTTTTTTTTTGACTCTGCTTTTCTCTGGGCTGCTGCCCTGTCATTTCTTAGTCTGTCCCTCTTGTTCCTCTCAGCCTTGCCTTTTTCTGTTTTCTCTTTCCCGCTTATAAAAGGAAGTACCCTGTAGACAAATCTGACCTGCACCTTCCATTTCAGCTCTTTTGAATTTGCATTTGAACTCTCTCGGCTGGCTCTCAAGCACAAAACCCCTGAGATTCACCTGCGATTTGCTATGTACCTGGAGGATGAGGTATGGTGTGATCCTCCCTCCCTGGTTTTGACCCTGGCCCCAGAGCCCTCCTTTGCCATCACTAACCGGTCCCCCCTGGTCTCCTGGCGGCCCGGGAGCTAGTCTTCTCCTCTCCCTCTAGGGTAAATTTGAAGAGGCTGAAGCGGAATTCATCAGAGCTGGTAAACCCAAGGAAGCAGTCCTTATGTGAGTTACCCCGCAAACGCCCTTATCCTGGCTTCCCCGGCATCTTCCCCTTCGTCCGAACCTGGTACCAGGAAAGCTCCCACCCCTGCAGCAACATGTGCTGTACTTGGCCTCCCCTGTGTGCTTCTGTGGAGGCAGGTTTGTCCACAACCAGGATTGGGAAGCAGCTCAGCGTGTGGCCGAGGCCCATGACCCTGACAGCGTCGCTGAGGTGCTGGTGGGGCAGGCCCGCGGGGCCTTGGAGGAGAAGGACTTTCAGAAAGCTGAAGGGCTGCTGCTTCGGGCCCAGAGGCCAGGCCTGGCCCTCAACTATTACAAGGTGGGCACTGGCTTCAGGACCAGGAGGCCAAGTGATTGGGTATAAGAGAGAGTCCACAGGGAGCCACACTGACCCCTGGTCCCAAGAAAGGCTGGGGAGGATAGTATTGGAGGAGGGAAGGAAAGGCACGCCGAAGGAGAAGAGGTCCAAGGACCCAGGAGGCACGGAGACAGAGCACCTGCGTGGCGGTGGGAAATGGCCACACCTTCCTCTGCTCTTCGGCGCAGTGCCCCTGCACCTGAGGACTACTGAGTGGCTGTGCT